GTCCCCAGGCTGCCCCTGCGGCTTGGGGGTTCAGTATGCAGGCAGCAGGCAAGGCAGGCTGCAGGCAGGGCAGGCCTCCTGGAGGAATGCAGGGGCCCCTGAGGCAGCTGTGAGGAGGAACACTATGTCCCTGCCCTGCCACCTTCCTGAAAACCTTCAGGAAGGCAGAAGCTGAGGTTTGGCCTCCCCACCTCTGCAGCATCCCATCCAGCAGTCTGGCCCCCAGCTTGAGCCCAGCCTTCCTACCCACAGCAGCCCCTGGGCTCACCACTGCAGTCACCTTGCTTCATCCCTCCCTCCTCCCTCTTATTTGCCCTACAGTGCTGTGCATCATCTTCCTAGTATAAAGCATCTGGCAGGTGTAGATAAATGGCACATTTAATGAAAACCTCTATTAGAAAGCTGCAAGGGAAGTCCATCCTTTTCCCCTGCTATTCAGTCAAAAGTTCAGAGATGCTGTGGCACTGCCTTACAAGAAGAGAAATATTTGTTCCTGCAAGAACCAAGCCAGGCTCTATCCTGGAAATACTTCTGCCTTATAAATTGCTCGCTCTGTTTATACTCTAGTACTGAAGCTTTTATTACTTTCTTGCTAAAATACAGCAGAGCACGTATCTCAGGCCCTGCAGAGTGGTGTGTGTAGTCCTGCGGGAAATGACCTGCCTGGGACAGCTACGTCCCTGGAGAGACACGGGTACTGGAGAGCAGCCCTGTCCATGTTTGTGGACATGTCCACAAACAACCTGGTGGACTGCCAGCCCCTGGTTCCTCACACTCGTTTGGTAGCAAACAGGCAGTGTGAGCATGCAATAGTTGCTTTTGGAGAGAGATCTGGCTGTAAATTGGCACCCAGACTCCTCCTAATCATGTGTTTCTATAAACTATATAGCCGCGGGCTGTTGTCATGCTTTAAAATATGAGGGCGTTTTCTCCCAGATAGAAAAAAGGTCGGGGGGGGCGGCGGGAGGGCAGGGGAGAAAAACTTGTGAACTTGTGGTGGAGAATTTCTTCACATTTTCTCCATCTCTCTGCAGTGTGAGCCCAGACACCAACGTGGCAGCAAGAAACAAAGACGGATGATCCCCTTCCTGCTCTCATTCGCGACTTCCCCGTTTACCCGGGCGGGCAGAGCTGTGCCCCAGCCTGCCGGCCCTGGAGGGCGGCACTGCCCCGGCACAAGGCTGCGGTGATGTGCCCAGCACTCCAACCGAGGTGCAGCCAAAAGCTTGGAACACCACTCGGGGCTGCTTCTCCCCGAATCACTGCCTCCCTCCACCCCACGGGCAGCTGAGATTGCCACGTGGAGCGGGGCTGAATTACAAGCTGTCAGCGTTATTTTGCATTAATAAATACAGTGTGTAAGCCTTGCCCACAGGAACAAAAACAGATTAAATGAGCAACGTTTTTTGGGTTTTTTTTTCTCTTCAAGGGGTAGGGTTTAGAATAAGTTAATTCAAATTGGCTCATAGATTTTGGTCCTGTGCTATAACAGCAATTGTGGACCCCTTAATTTCTTAATAGGCATGCGCTGTAAATGTCACAGGAACTATAAACATGTGGGAGCATATCTAATCACAGCAGAAGGGTCTGCAAGTCAGTGTAGTATTACATCTCCAGTCTAGTAGAAAGTTCAAGTTAATCATCTGCTCACTTAGGAATACCCCTAGCCCAAATCTCACAGAAAGAATAAATCCGAGCAGGAAATTTCAAAGGTATTTTGCTGCCTAATGTTCACTGAAAGCGTCGCTGTTTCAACTCCAAGATGCCTTTGAATCGCTTGGCAGTGATCCCCCCTCGAAGGCGCTTGCCATCAAAGTGTCTGCTCATGCATGCAGAGCCTGGAAGGAGACCAAGCCCAGTGCAAGGGGTTCCCTATCCAAAGGGCTTCAGCAGCCTTTTCCACGCCATCCGTGTAAGCATTGTTCTGCAGACAGCTGATTTGATCCTCTGGCATAGGAAGGAAATGTACTTTACATAGCTGGTGAAGGTCAGCAGCATCCAGAGCAGCCATTTGGCAAGAAGTCTGCTTCCCCCCTCTCCTTCCCCCTGCAAAGTGGTGAGCTCCTCCAGGTCAGACTGTAAAAGGACTTACAGATGTTAGATAAAAAGTAACGGCAGAAAATGTGTGCATGACCCTAAAAAAGAAAACTAAAATACATGATCTGATGGAAGTTAGATTTTTCCTTGGTTTTTGTGTTGAAAGCCGAAAATAGAGATATCTTCTCCCAAATCCTTCTGCTCCACCAAATGGGTGGTTTTTTAGAGGGATGGAAAAGCCTCATCTCAGTGTGTTGGAATAAAACAAACTCCAGTAGATACAAGTCTGAGTCTCTGATGTGCTGGATGCACATCATCCACAGGCACATGGCTTCTCCTGATTAACTTCACATCCTTTGGGTAGCAGGAGGCAAGAAGGTACACGATGTGTAATTTCCTTTCCAACTGCTCTTTGTCCATGTTGCATATTCCTCCAGCAAGTAAAGCAGTGCTGGGGCTCACGTTCTCATCCTTATCTACCTGATGCTCTGTTTCCTTTCTGTCATTCTCTGTACAAATATGAACTGAATATGTGCTTCAGAACCAACTTTGTTGTTACTTACTGTTTGAACACTGAAGCTTGCCCGTTTTAGATAAAAGTGGTCAGACTGAAAGCTAAGCACCTCAGCTAAGCCCATCTCCAAAAGCATCCTGAAGCCAGCAATGAGGAGGAGGCATCCCAGGCCTCAGTCACTTACTGTGGTTCTCCTGGTCAGCCCAGGATGTTGCTAAAAACAGACTTCCAGGAGCCCTTTCTGAGGATGCTCTTTAGACACTGAAACTGTTTTGGCTTTCAGCTGAGCTTTACCTCAGACTTGACAGTTTTGGTCAAGACCCACAAAAGAGGTGGTCACTCTTGCTTGTGGTAACTGGTGGCCTGAGCCTACACCTGCCTGGCATGAAGCAGCTGATGGGGGCCACTGTGGCCTCTCCCAGCCACAAAAATGGGACCCCTTCCAATCCAGCGCAAAGAGCCCTGGCACAGGCAGGGGTTTGTTGTCTTTGCACAATGGACACCAGACAGAGGCTAAACACTCCTCCTGAACTCGTGGGACTTGTGCAAAGCGGGGTTTAGCCTCCAGGGACCCAGCTTCTCCCAGAGTAAAACAGGGCTTGTGGGGATCAACCTGAGAGAGCCATGAGACCCCTCCTACCCTCATCCTCACAGCAGAGGAGGGCTTGGAAAGGTCTGATAGATGGGGCTGCTTGATATTTGGGATATTTCTCTGATATTGTGAAAAGCTCCAGCATTTTCAATATCTTTAAAAAGTGTCAGGCCATGGTTAGTAGCAATATGTGCTGGGGTGCCACTTCTCCAGGTCCTGAGGACTGGGGGAACTCCACTGCTGTGCTTTGCCCTGTGCTGGGATTCCCATCCACCTGTCTTCCCTAGAAACCATAAACCTCCTTATCTAAAGCTGAGCTATGGCTGGGCTAACTTTTGTGAGTCCAAAGTCCATCAGTTTATCAGGTCAAGCTCCAGCCTAAGGCTGTTGCTGCAGCCTCCAGCTCGTCCTGCCTCCAGCCTCTCAGTCCTGCTCGGAGCCTCTTCGGAGACACCACAGCAGTTACAAGGTTGCCTTGAAAGGCAAGGCACCTTTCCCAGGGGCTCACAGTGCCATCATTTTTAAGCACATTAGGTCAAATCTCACAGGTCTGGCCCCAGTTGCTCAGGAGTGTTTTTGTAAGGGAATGGGTCAAAGAGGGGAGGGAATTTTTTTTTTTTTATTTCTGACATGTTTTGGTCACAGCCCAATTCACCATTATTAAAGGCAGATAATTTCCACATTCCTTAACATTTGGCCCTCCCTCCTGGAGCCTGGGGGAGAATTACAATAACAAGTTATGGGAATGCCAGACACGTGCCTGGGCCTGTAGGATCAACTGCACCAGTAAGTTTACTCAGGGGTACCACAGCTCTCTACCAACCAGCCTCTCTCACGAGCCCAGCAGAGTTCCTACTGCAGCCCCCCAACCTCTGAGCAGTCCCAGGCTGTGTTTTGCCATGAAAATTTTGCAACTGGCCCAGGCTGACAGAGAAGGGAGACTGAGATGTAAAGTGTAGATTCACATGAGTAAGTCTTTCATCACAGACATGAAGTGTCCCAATCACATTGGGGCACCCCAAATGCAGTTTTACAGACAGCTCCTATACCTTCTAAGCATTTGGGAACAACATGCTTTGCCCAGTCCCTATGTATCACACATATGCTACCAAATTCCAAAGCAACAATAATTTTATGATGTCATGATCCATCTGCTTCTTTCCTAATCTAAATGTCTCTGGAGTTGGTCTTGCTGCAGTTACATGTATGATGCTGGATAATGGGGTGGGGGTGTTCCCAAAGGTGCCTGGAAGGCTGGGATGCTGATGTTATCGTGGGCATCCAGAGTTATCCTTTATTCTTCAGGCAAGGGGTCGTCTTCCTGCAGCGATCCAGGTCCTTTAGTCATGCTTACTTAAGCATGATATCCAGCATAGAATGTCTATTTACACCAAGAAAATTAATAGAATTTCCTGCTATACATACTTATTGCTCCAATAGTTATGGAATGAGATTTTCCTCGCAGTTTTTCATGGGGGAGTAGGGCTGTTGGTTTGGTTTTTTTTTCCCCAACGGGCGCCTGTGATTTTTCACAAGGCTTCTTCAGGAAGGTTTCCGGGCTGCGGGGTGAAAAAGAGGAGTATCACCCAGAGGTGATATCATCCAGAGACGAGGCAAAACCACTTTCATTGCATCACTCGGGTGACTTTAACCACCGTGCGCACCCCGTTCCCAGCTCTGCTGCCCGACCCGCGCCCTTCCCGAGCCCGTTCGGACACGGCGGGAGTCTCCGGGGCCGCGCCTTTTGGGGCACACCGCGCGCGCGCCCGGCGGTGGGCGTGGCTCGGGCCGCTGTCAACGGGGCGGACCGGGGCGTGCCCGCCGTGACCACGCCCCATCCACGCCCGAAGCCACGCCCCCGTCGGGGACGGGCGCGGCGGGAGCGCGGCGGGACGGAGCGGCTGCCGCTGCCGGAGTTACCTTGATCCCGGCGGGAAGGAGGAGAGGAGAAGGAGGAAGAAGAAGAAGAAGGCGGCGGGGGTCTTCCCGCTAAGCCGGGCAGGATGGACAAGTACGACGATCTCGGTCTGGAAGCCAGCAAGTTCATCGAGGACCTCAACATGTACGAGGCCTCCAAGGACGGTCTCTTTCGGGTGGACAAAGGTGCCGGCAACAACCCCGAGTTCGAGGAGACCAGGCGGGTGTTCGCCACCAAGATGGCCAAGATCCACCTCCAGCAGCAGCAGCAGCAGCAGGAGGAGATGCTGATGGCCGCGATGAACGGAGGTGCTGCCGCCTTCCACCCTCCCCGTCCCAGCCCGCCGGTGGCGCGGGGTTCGAAGCCGCCCCCCGCCGCCCAGGGGCCGCGAGCGAGGCCCTGCGAGGGAGGGGAGCGGGGCTTCGGAGAGAGCGGAGCACGTGCCGGGGCCCCGGGGAGCCAGGCCGGGCGCCGGGGCTGGGAAGCGGAGCCCGACAGGATCCCCCGAGTGGGGGGCACACAGCCTGGCGTGGGGCGCGGGGAGCAGCAGGCTGGGAGCCTCGGCGACCCCCAGCCCTGCCGCGGCGGGCAGGAGAACGGCGGCGAGGGCAGGCGAGGTGTCGGGGGCCGTGACCCGATGCCAGCCGGACAGAGGTCCTCCTTCTCAAACTCCGGGATCCCCTCGGTAGGGCCAGAGGAGCCCCCGCCACAGCAGAGGTCCTCATCCTTCTCGGCACCCTCAGCGCAGCCCACGCGAGGGTTTTCAGGCTCCGCTGAGCCCTGCGGTCCCAAAGCCGGAGGAGATGGCGGCCAGCCGTGGTACCAGGGTGTCTCGGTGTCCTTCCCGCCAGACTCCGCAGCCGCTGCTCCCAGCGTGGAATACCAGCACGGCGCTGCCTACCCCAGCCCGGGCAGTCACTTGGTGGCCCGCGGCCAGAGCCACAGGCCCGCCAGCAGCAGCGGGAGCCCCGAGGCGGGCTCCTCCCGCCTGGCCTCGCGGGGGATGGTGGCTCCCAGTGCGCCGCAGATGCTTTTCCCGGAGGGCGTGAGCGGGCCGCGGGCAGACTCTGGGCACCTGGATGGCTCCAGCACAGCAAAGGTGAAGCTGCCCTGCCAGACCCTCCTTCCGCAGCCAGAGCAAGGGCCATCGGCGGCTGAGCTGAAGCTGGAGGCACTGACCCAGCGGCTGGAGCAGGAGATGGATGCTCGGCCAAAGGCTGATTACTTTGGTAAGGAGGCGATCCGCCCGCCGGCACGAGGAGGGCGCATTGCAAAGTGTCACTGCAGGGTTCTGACCTGCAGGATTGCATTTGCCTGTACATCTGCTTGGTTGGGCTCTGTCAGTTGCCCAGAGCAGAGTTTTTTAATTTAACTTTTATTTATCACTGGGGTTAGAAGCTCTTCCTCCTGCAACACCTTTTTCTTTAATCCTACCTCTCTAATTTTAAAGCAAAGGTAGTTTAGCAGCTTTGGGGGGCGGGTGGCAGTGCTAGGAAGGAGCTGGAACAGTATATTTTGAAGTGCCCCTTCACTGCCAGCAGGGAGACACTTTAACTTTTTTTTTACAATACTCCTGGTTCTCTGTATCTTAAAAGGATGCGTCCCGACCACGGGCAGGAAGGCAGCCATCCAGCCTGCGGGGCAGTCCTGCCTGCATAGGCTGCCGTCATGGAGAAGGGCACGGAGTACAGGGGAGGGACAAGTGTCTCGGAGATGGGGAGGGCGGTGGCTTCCCAAAGTTGCCAGGACTTCCCTCTGCCTCCGGGTGCTGGTTCCCATCAGCAGTGAAATGATTGGTACGTCCTGAAGATGGCAGAACAGGCAGTAGGCACGTTCTTCCCTAAATCTGGGGTCTGTGACGAGTCCAGACCACCACCAGAGGTTATCGCTGGCACTTGGCAGTGGAAAGGAACCACTTATAAACAAGGATCTCCCGATAAGAATATTGAATGTCCTTCTGGATTAAATTGATTTGCTACCCCAGGATGGCAGGAGGTCAGGGTCAAATTGCGTGTTTCCTTTCCCTGCTGTGCCACTGCACAATTCAACAGCAGATAAGATAGCTCAGCTTTTGGGAGAGGGAAGCCCAGAGTTGCTGGGAAGGCTGGAAACTCCACGGTTAATTTAAGAAACTATGGGAGCAGGCCAGGTGTATGGATATTTCTCATGATTTTATACCTGCAGTTGCAGAAGTAGAACAGGGACAGATTAAACTCTTCAGCCTAGTGCTAAGGAAGGGTTTGCATCTCAGCCTGCAACAGGTGCTGTTGCACTGGGTCCTGTCTGGTGGGGTCGGTGGGTGGCTCAGTGGTGGTCTGAACCACACAAGAGCTTCACACCGAGATTTGGGGATGTAGCTGGAGGGACCACCGAGCGCTGAGCTGCAGATTGCATAACAAAATGTGTTTCTTGGCAGCAGGCAGGGGGATTTGCCCGCAGAGGGCTGTGCCGGGGTTGTTTATCTTGGTATCTGAGACTGGATTAAGCCCTGTGGCAGGGCAGGGGCATTTTTTATCCTGTCGCAGCAAAGTGATGTGTTCAGCTGCTCTACTCACAGTGTTTTGTCCTGGAAACAAGTTTTGGCACCTTCCGTCCTGTGCAGGAAGCGCTCGGTTTGAATGAGATCAGGGAGCCTCGTTGCGGGGGCCTGAATGCCGTGACTAGGAGCTGATAAAGGAGATGGGGTTGGGACAGCAGGCTCGTGGGAGGTGGTGCTCGAAAATGGGAATGTTCTTCTGGAGGTGACATTCAGCTCCACTGGAGAGGTGTCAGGGGTCTCTCCAACAGACCCTGCTGTGTCTTCTCAGTAAACCAGCTGGATCATACCTCATCTAAAATGTGCCTGGGGATGGGCTCAGGAGGCAGAGGAACCCAGTTAGTGGTTAGATTACTTTTACATTTTGTCACAAAATAAGGATGCAAAGCAGAAGGAAGCTTTGTCCTGTGGGAGATTTATAGTGAAGCAGGAGTGTTTTTGGCAGCGTGGGGAGTCCAGCTGGTCAGGTGGCACAGTGAGCCCCAGGAGAAAGGAGACACGGAGGCTGCCTGATCCCCAGTGAAGTGTTCTGACATCCTCCTGCCAGGAGATTTTGCACCGGGAGAAATTTGGGAAGGAAAAGAGTGAGAGGAAAGAAAAGAAATCATGCAGTCTTGGCAGAGGGAAAAGTAAGGTTTTGTGGAGCTTCAGTTCAGCAGACAAAGGTTCAGCAGATCCTCTGCTGAGGACCAAGGAACAGGAAGGAGCAAGTATCGAGGTATTTTAATTCTGGGCCTCCCCCTCCCCCTTTCTTTCTCACTTTTGTTTTCATTTTTTGCACAGTTACCTTACTTCCTTTGAAGGGACAAAGGGCGCAGCTGGCCTTCTAAATTATTTTTTGCTATGCCCTACTCTCAAGCTACCAAACTTTAGGATGTAAAATAAGCACTTTTATGCAATAGTGATAAAAAGGATCAATAGTTTGTTTTGTTGCAGACTTCTTCCCCGGTGAAGGGAATTCTATTGCAGCAGTTTTTAAGTTCATCAGAAACAGGAAATGAAACCAGAAACTAAAGTATTTTATAAAATATATTTTCACTTCTCCTAATTTTGTATAACAAGGGGATGTTTTTGAAGATGGGTCTCTCTGTCAGACAGACTGTCCTTCAGTCTGTCTCAGTCAGGACCAGATGTTTATTAAGAAGAACTAATTCCGATCACAGTAAAGGAGCTTTCTCCTTCACTGTGAAAATGTGTGCTTGTAGGTGAAAGCCTAGGAAAGGATAAGCCAGGGACTAGGCAAAATACAGGTAGGATGCTGTGCTGAGGAGCAGCAGTCTGGTCATCTGTCAGCACCAATTTGCTGTGCAAAATGCTTTTGTCTGCTCAGAATAGGTATAATTGAAAGGAAAGAAATACACAAAGCCAAGAATTTGCTCTGGGTTTTTTATCTTTTGTTTTTTTGTAAGTAGTGACCTATATGTGAGCTGCATGGGCTGCACATGTCTCTGGAGGAATTTTGGTTCTCCAAGAGGGCTTTTGAAGTGCTGATTTGATCTATATGGGCTATCAAGGAGGCATAGGGAGTCTCAGGTATCACTCAGGTCTTTTGCTTGGGGAAGGAAAAGCTGAAGTTGCCCCCTAGAGACACTAGTTCCCATGTAGCAGAGAAGGGCCCTTATGTCCCTGGGAGGTGTCGCTGGAAGCCAGCTTAGGATGTATTTAGGTTTTGGTGTATTATTTCCAGAGAACATTCAGGAGTGAAGTGCCCAAATCCTACTCATTTCCCATGGCGTCCCTTTGGGTGCATCAGCCTTCATCTCCTCTTTGTGGCAGAAGATTAAATAGGAGTGATCAGGGGAGTTGCAAATCCCTTGGTAGCACCACCAAACGTTTAGGGTTAAGTGAAGCGACGCCATCCCAAAGACTGAAGTGCCTGATGAGTTTTCAGGTGAGACAGATGCACAACCAAACCGAGCATCTGCCTGCACTGCCTGGGAGTGACTTGGTAGAGGAGGGGCCTGGCTGAAGTGTACTGGGGTCTGCAGGGAGGTTTGACTACTTGTTTTAGCATGCAGTGCCTTGATCTGCAGGCACAGATGGGTGCTTCTAAAGGTGTAACATGTAGCATCATGTTTTTAACAGTGCTTTTTTCATACAGCTAGATGGAAATCTCCTCCTCATGAGGATTATCTACGCCCTTACCAAGAGCATTTTATAAAACCATCTTTATGACTGGTCTTTCTGTTATAAATATTTGTTAGCTGTTGTATTTTGGCTTCCTTATTATTTACAGCAGAGCTGATAAGCTGTGGATGATTTAGGAGGGCCCTGGGCATCTTGTTTTGCAGTGGAAAGCTGAGATGCTTCCCAGCAGTCAGGCAGAGAATATTTCCTAGCACAGTCTGCAGATTTTTTTTTCCCCTTGGCATAAACAGAGCAATAGCTGAGCCCTGTGGAGACCTGGGAGCCCAACACCTTTGAATGGGTGAGCAGCTCAAAGGCCAGCAGTGCTCTTTGGAAGCATAGTGTACAGTGAGGTTAGTGTTCCACCACTGCTGGAACCACAATTCATTTAACTTTGAGGCTGTACACACCCGGGAACTTCACTGAATCCTGCTGATGGTGGGGCACCAGCACACTGTGTGTGCAGCAAAGGTAATCTCAGGGGTGACAAGCAGAGAATTTCTGATTAAAATGAAAGTTCCTCTGAGTCTGCTTAGTCTGTGGGTGATGATGGCAATGCCATTTCCACTGGGAATGAGCAGAGGCATCCTTTACTACCTTCTCCTGGGAGAGTATCAAAGCTGAAAGGAGACACCTGCCTGCAGCAGTGAGGAAGGTGAGGCAGGGCGAGACAGGTCCTGGTGGAAGAAGGAAAGCTAGAAGGATCATGGCACTTGGAGTAGTGGGTGTGTACAGATTGCAAAGCTTATCTCACTGCAAGAAACCAAGCAAATAAGTGTTGGCTTGGAATATGGCTCTTCAAGATTACAGGAGTATGTGCTTCTCCTCCCTTCCTCTTGGGAGCTCAGCTGTGTTTGCAAGCTAAGGAAAAATCTACTGAAAGGAAATAAAAAGCAAAGAGTTGAGGCAGAGGAGTAATCAGTCTTTCAGCCAGGATACAGTAGATGTGGGATTGAAAGAAATAAGGAGCCTCATTCATGTGGCACGGGAATTATCATAATCCGTGACGCCACTATAAGGTACTTAAAATGTCACTGACGTGAGTTTGATGGCATTTTCGTCCTTCACTAGCAGTGTGTACATGAAGGTCTACAACAAGGTCGGGGGTCAAGAAAGTGGCATGAAAAAGGGAACAGAAAACTTGTGTTTACCAACTTTGTGGTTCTCTGGTCTGGGGGTACCTGTCCATCTTTGTACAGAAAACCCAGTCACTCTGTGATGAATAGAACCAATCTGCCAGGTTTTCCAGGCACTCAGTCTCACCCAGGCCTCCAGATCTCCTTGAAATCACCTCTCCATCAAGAGTTACTTGCTCAGCTACTACAGCTCAGTAGTAGATAAGCAGCATAGCAAGGCATGCAATATGTGTAGTTTAGAGTTTGATGTAGGAATTACTTGGTTAAGGTGAGCCATGGGAAGGTGGGTGGGTTCAAGTTCCAGAGAAATTCTAAAGTAAAACCAAGACAACTGAGCATCACACCGTGTATGGCAGGATGAAAGCTTTTCTCAGCAGACAGTCTTTGAAACACGTGTGTGCAAGTGGAGGGCTTGGTTCTCCTGGGTGGGTTGGAGACAACAGCAGCTGTACCTGCACAGGGTCCTCCCTGTCAGGGTGAGTGTCAAGCAGAATTCTGATGGGGAGGACCCTTGTGAAGGTACAACTTCTGCCAAGAGGCATCAGGATTTATTGTGTGTATATGTGGACAGATGGGAATGATGTTACTAGAAGCGCAAAGTCTCTGGGGGAGTGGTTCTTCTACGTTCAGGTGGGGATTCTTCAGCATAAATCCTGCCTTCTGTAAAGAGGGGGCAAAAACCAGTTATGTCTGATGGAGAAGAGTCAGTCTGACCGTGGAAATGTGGCTTGCACAGAGTATGTGCAAGGAGTAGGACAGACTTGCTGTTTCTGGATTAGGCAGATAAGCAGACCCACACCACAGGAATCACCCTGCCCCTGCATTCCTCTGACCTGGGACCGAATTGGCATGGCAAAGAAATCTCACCACTGAAACATTGTCACATTTGGTCATTCAAAATGAGGTGACAATGTTAGTAAGCCCAACCAGGAGCACGTGTAGGAAAGCTTGGCTGTGCTGTGTGTTGCTGAGAAGGGAGGTGCTGCTGAAAAGAGGGATGCTGTTGGAATAACTGTGGTCTTGGTCTGTCTGAAATGTGGAAATAAATCTTAGTCCCAGAAAATGCTGCTCTTCAGCATGGTTTGTGTTGAATTTTTAGTGAGTGGGATACAGTAAGTAACTAAACTCCTTCTGGTGAGTGTGAATTAGCAACACTTGGAGGAAAAAATGTCTTCAGGGGCTTCGAGTCTGGTGGTAAATGGAAATGCACTTGTTGAATTTTGAGGGTGGAGCTGACATTTGAGCAACAGGTTTGCTTTCATTTCTCACAGCCCTTGAGGTTTGTGTCCAACCTGTTGGATCATGTGAGCCAAGGCTGTTCCTGGTGACAGCCGTCCTGGTCTGCAGTGCTGAGATGGAGTGTGGCAAGTGCCGGGAAGTGGCTTACAGGGCATGTTTTTGGTCCCAGCTCTGTTCCAAAGGTCCCTTTGTTCAGACTCTCAGCTGCAGCGCGGGCGGTTGCTTGCTGCATGATGCGAAAGGGAACAGAGATGTCTTTGTTGTCCAGGGACGGCTGCCCTGCCGACAGAAATTGAACCTAAATCAGCAATTTCCACCCCTTTCCCTTCTCAAATTTGGCTGCCATTCTGCCTGTGCGCTCAGGCATGGGTTTAGTGGTGCTCTGCGTGTGTGGTGGTTGGGGTTTGTTATCTTGGTGGTAAAACAGAAACCTGTCTTTTCTTCTGAATAATGTTGTCTAAGGTTAAAAACCGTAATTTCAGAGGGGATGTCTGCTGGGATTGGTGCTTGCATAAACACTTGTTACAAGCTGCAAAATTACCAAGCGCAGGAATCAGGGATCTTGCTGAACTGTGGCTACTCAGGATCCCTCTGCTTCATACTGAGGACAGAAGTTTTTACTAAAAGCCACTCAATGCCAAGAAAATAAACCAGAACTGCTGACTAGTGTCAGTGGCATGTGGGGCTGGAGTGATGCTGCTGACATTTTAACACCAGCAGCAAGCACAGTCAGCACTGTTTCGGGAAATAGCCATCGGAGCTGGTGTGGAGCAGGGCGCAGAGCCCGTTTTGTAGCAGGATGGGGTTGGAGGTGGCCCCAGTTGCGCTGGCTTCCGTCAGCTGGCTTTGCACGCGTGCTGCCGAGCTCAGCGACTGGCTGCCATCGGCAGCAGGTTTTCCCTTGCTTTTTCCCTGATTAGCCTCAGCCAGAAGATCGGGATCACTGTGACAGCAGGGAGTGAATGGGGATAGAAGAAGTGGAAAGGAAAAATCAATAAAAATCACTTTTTTTTTCCCCTCCCCTTTTTTTCAGGCCAGGTGTGCTAAGTGTTAGAGAGGAAAGCTCAAGTATGTTGGTTAAAATACTTCAGAATATTGTATCTGGAAAGAGCAAAGACTTACGTAGAGAGTAATTTCACTTGCTACCGAGGTTTAATGGGCTTTCAAGTAAGATTTAGCAGATACATGTAAGAACATAAACTAGAATCAGATGTGCCATAATGCCATTTTTCAGTTGTCAACCTTGGCACAGGATATGAATGAGTATTTATAGCATGTCTGGCTATTACATAGTTGAGTACATTACAGTTTTTACAGAAAACATTGTCAATTTATTTTAAAATCCCTTTCATTCCATTACTTTATTTCCCATTTTTTAGGGGCCTAAATATTGAAAGAAGTGGGTGAAAGGGTTAATCAGAGGTGAAATGGAGGAAAAACTGAAAGGACTGTGGAAGGGTGGTTGGGAAGATTGAGGGGCAGGTGGTGGAGGAAGGTTTTGTTACAGATGTGAAAACCTTGACAATTCCTGCAGGATCTGTCCTTTTGCGAAGCCAGAGGGGCAATGCCTGTGCTCTGGAGTGTAATGGGATAGACAGGAGATGGCAGAGGCAATTTCTGCCCTCCACGGGGTTTGCCTTAGCCAACTTAATAGTGGCTTTTGCCTGCCAGCATCTTTATCTGGCGCTGTGCCCGCATTCAGCTGCTGTGCCTTCTGCCTCCTGCTTCTTCTTGCTGCTCATCCGCAGTCAGTGTCACCCGGCTGCTTTATGGAAAGCAGGAAAACTGGAGCATGCTGGTGAGATTTTCTGGAGCAGCCACTCATTGGCACAGAAAAGGGGAAAATGCAGCACTTGCAGTGCAATAAATACGTTGGCTCTGTGGAAAGCCTGGTGGGTGTCATGGAAAATTGGCAGGTTTTCTGCTCCTGAAACTTTCTGCTCCGCATTGCTGTACTCAAGAGGGAGTTCTGAGTTGTTAGCTCTTGTGTCAGATCATTGCACAGAAATTCAGGCTGCCGCTGAATGTGCGCATTCCTGGGAGAGCGCATCCATTTGAAAAGCCAATTTTTTCTTATCTTTGCCTTGACCTTTTCTTTTTTAATCCTTTTTCTAATGCCTGTACAGTTTATCTTTCTTAAAATGTTTCTTTCAATAAATGAGATAAACCTGCTCAGTTCAAAAAGAACCAGAAAGTTTTGCTCACTTGGTGCCAGTCTGAGTGCTGGGGTGGGCCCACAGCCAAGTGAGCATTTCAGTTGGTGTAGGATTTGGACAAAACAAAGTAACTAATTATTCTTTGCAGCCTTCTCTCCAGGTTTGTGTCAGTGTGGACTCTGGCTCTGAGTGCAGTGGGGCTTGGCACAGCACTAGGACAGCATTCAACGTGCTGGTTGAATGTGCGCATGCAGCTGTAGCAGAGAGCACCAGATCTGCTCTGCAAAAACCTGGGAAAATCAACTGTCTGCTTTTTAGCAGCCATGTGTGTGCTACTGCAAAGGACTCCTGAGTGGTTTTAGCCCTGTAGTGTGAAAACTGACCACCATGGCTAATGGCTGCAGGGAGGAATTGTTACTCACGCTGGCAGTGCAAGCCTGTTGCTGCCAGCGTTGAGTTACTTTTCAGCGCTGTTGTAAGCACAGTGAACTTCTTCCTAACTTTCTCCAGACTTTTTCAATTACTTTGGAGCTTGCAGTGCTCCAAAAGAAGTGAAATTTTGTTTACCATCCTTAGCATAACTAAGGATCTCCAGCAAGATAATGCTGTTCCTCCTCCTGGGCCAGTAGGAGTGAGGTGTGACTCACAGTCCCTTGACCAGGGATTTTAAGAGCCAGGATTAATAGGTCTGGATAGCGGTGAAAGTTGAAGTCACATCAGAGTCACTACAGACCAGAGACAGAAACACATAATCAGTTTTTCCTTCACACTGCCCCTTATTAATCTATTTGCTTAAACAGAGATTCAGATTTCTCAGAGGTAGATAAAGGGTGGTGCTGCTTTAAAAACAACCTGTCACAATCACAGGGTAATGCCTGAAGTAAGTAAAACTGGCTTGATGTCCCATTTCCTTCTTACGAGAGGTAGGTGTCAGGTAGTCTAGTTCTGTTTTGTTCGGGAATCATTAGGGCCTTCAGCAGGCACAGCTGGGGTCTGAAATGGATGATTTAATGGAGGTAAGTGAAGAGCTGTGTTTTCCTCATGTAGTTGTGACCAGAAACAATAAGTACCAGAAACTATTGTCTGTGAAGAGCTCTGAGCACCACTTACTGATACTCACTGCTTTTGTGAGGGTCCTTAAGCAGGTTTAGATGCATATAAAGGTTGTCAGGAAGGATGGGAGAAGGAAGGAGATGTCACTGTACCTGGACAGTTCTTGTGCAGTTTATTTTTTTGCAAAAGTCTTTCATTGTGGAGGTTTGATGACTGTCATGGCCACTGTTAACAGCATCTCTCAGAGCAGGTGACAGTGATGTCACATCTTGTGGCTTCATTGAGCCACATTGTGCTAAGCTGTTCAGCCACCGTGATGAGCTACATGTGTTGTCACCCAGCCAGTGTCTCCAGCCACCCCATCGGGTCCCACTTGTGACCTCTCTCCTCTCTCCCAGGTACCTGCGTGAAGTGCAGCAAGGGCGTGTATGGAGCAAACCAAGCTTGCCAAGCCATGGGCAACCTCTACCATGACAGCTGCTTCACCTGTGGAGCCTGCAGTAAGTATCCCTAGCCTGGCCTGATGCTGGTGCCAGCATACTCTTCAGGCTTGACATTTTTATGGTGTAAAGGGGGAAGAAAAGAAAGCAGTTATTAAACTATCTCCCAGCTGGAGTCCGCTGCAGCTGTATGACTTGGTGGTGGTGCTTGCTGTTTGTTTTTGAATGGATTGTTGCAAGGCATGTAGAAATGATATTTTGGATTGTGCCAAGCTCCTGCCTTCTGGTATGGGGGATGGTTGTTTTCATTCCTCTGCCTCTCAGTTATAACCACATTTTCTTACAAGAGTATTTTTTCAAAGTGGCAGTGAATATGCCTTAGCTGGCATGTTTTTTGTCTCTGCAGACTTTACTTTTCAGATGGAGCTGCTGCAGGGTAATCCCAGTGGCAGTGTTTTCGCTGCGTGCATTATCTTTTATTTGCTAAAATCATTTTGTACCTCTGAAATACCTCCAGTTAAAGCATGTAAGTGCATGAATGTCCCAGGTTACACATCTTGCTTGCTCTTTCTCCAGAGAAATGCAACCATGCCCTGACTTAAGGGGCATGTCTCTGCCAGCTTGGTCTCTGTCTTTTGCAGGGAGAGAACTGTGCAAGGGTATCAGGCTGGGCACAGTGATGATGTGCCCTCTGAAATCTACCCAAGGAGCAGAGTTAAGAGTTCAGCTGGCCCTGCTAAGCACCCTGTGGGTCACTTTCTCAGACCCACACCTGGAGTTTGCTAGAGTGTACAGCAATGTATGGATCCTCCTAAGCAGCTTTTCAAGGAGCTCTGTGACGGAGCTGGAATGAAGAACTGGCCACTTGATTTTAAGCCATGGCTGTGTTTTTAAGACAGTGGTTTTTCTGTTTTGTTGTGTTTAACTCCAGCAGTAGTAGTGTATTTTTAGAAGTGTAGCTGTATGTGTGGTGGCAGAAAAAATAATAATCTTCTGCTGCTTTTGTATATATGAGTTTGGTTTTCCCAGATAAGACTGAGGGTTTTTCCTCCTGAGATGTATTTAGAGTTATAAACTCATCAGGACTTCATGTGTTTTATTTGGAGCTGTAAAGTTGGAGTAAATATAGAAAGATGTGTATGCTTTTTAATAATAGCTGAGCCTTGAACTATGCCCATTTCCCATCTGTCCTACACCAGCTGCCCTGCCTCACCTATGTTTTTAGTAGAGCGTTTCACCATCATCTGACTGAAAACAGGAAAACTGAAAAGAGAGTGTTTTTTTCATGTAGTGGCAGTTTCCTAGAGGCTCAGAAGTCAGCTGCTCACTCTTCTGCCCTTTCTTGTAAATTAATTTGAAATTAATTAATATCCTCCCATGGAGAGGATTCCTGGCTGCAGCCAAGGCTTTGCTTCAGTTACCTCTTGCCCTCTAGGGCCAGGCAGTCTCTGAACTGCCCTTGCACCCAAAGCTCCTGTTAAAAATAACCCAGCAGCAGGTTTGAGCTGTCTTAAATTTTTAAAATTACTACCATGCAACTGGTGCTTTAGAAAGAAACACTTTTGGTCCTCCTTTTAAAATGAATTTTACAATCTTTATTTGGAGACCAGCACTAGAAAAGTAGTTGTGGTTGCAGAGGTATCCTGGTTACACCTGTTTGTTTGTCTGTGTTCGGTTAAAAATTAACTTAATCCCATTTCTAATGAGGTGGTTTGGTGAGGGTTGAAATTATAGCTATTTGCTCCTTATTCTAAAAGTCAACCCTTTCCAAACATTTCCAGTGCAAGATGAAAAGGTGTGGATGTCAGATGAGACTAAGAAAGATAGAAAGAAGCCACGTTTAGCAAAGTGAAGCCCATTTTCACTCTTACCCAGGCTGTAACTGAGGAATGTGCTGAGTAGATATGCTGGGGCAAAGGGTTTCAAACTGGAAGTAAAATTGAAAACCAAGGCTAATGAAAATGATTGGAAGAGGGTAAAAAGAAAGGGGTGTGGGAGCAATAATGATATTTCCCTCAGAAAAGACTGTATTTCAAAACAAAATTAAAAAGGGGAATGTAAGTCACGAGCAAATACCTAATTCAGCTTGTTATATTTAGGAGAGTAGTCATGAAAGATAAAGTCCTTCCCATTGTGGCAGTGGCCATACTAAAATGGAAACTGGAAGCAGTGGCAGCTGACAGCATGGCATGGATGGATGGAGGGGAAGGTGTGTGGTGGCATGGGATTCCCAGCATTCCAAAAAGAGTGGTGCCAGAGGGAGGCCTCACAGTAGTGGATGTTTTCCCTCATGTGCACAGACCTCTACAAACAGCAAGGTTTGCAAGAAACCCTTCAGTGCAGGGGGTGGTTTCCTGTGCTGCCCCTGTGGTCTGTGGGGCCTTGGTGTACCAGACCCTTGCTCCGGGGCTTTGTGGCCTGATCTGTGCTGGGCTGACTTTCTGCTTCATCAAACCTCTGCACTGCGGCTGCCTGGGGAGGTACAGGACGTCCTGCCCTGCACTCGGGGAGGAAACCTACTCAGGGAGGAGAATCCTGCCTCTCGAAGCCCAAAGTAATCTCCCAGCCCCACAGACCATCAGTCGCTGGGGGGATAAAGGACACACACTCTATTGTGTCACAACATGGCGCATGCCCCTCTGCAGGCTTTCTGTCACCTGTGTCACTGCAGTAAATGTGATGAGGCCATTTTTGTCTGCAAGAAAAATAAATACTTATTTGGTGTTGTTTTTCTAGCTGCAAAGCACGTCTTGAGCAGCCTATGTGGAAACTCTGGTTTCTAGTTGAAAAGTAAGTTGTGCTTTTAAGGTCAAGTGGAGTTCATCTTGGACACCATCCAGTACAAACTTGACTTTGAGAAGTCAAGGTTGTTCCTAATTTCAATCCTAAAATTTCTTCTTTGGTGGAACACTAAATATCCCCAACTCCAATAAATAAAATACAAAATTACCTATTAAGGTAAAGCATATTGTCCTCTAGATATTTATAATCACTGTCCTGCTGTTTTCATTTGAGCAAGGATTTCTAATTTTGCTTCTAGCTGGATTTGTTTCCAAATGCGCATTGGTTTCCCTGACACAGAAAATCAAGAGAGTCTAAGAAGTAAGGGGTTATGTGGGGGGGTGATACCCCCCGTATAGTGCCAAATTTCCTTCATCCTCTGCTTCCCAATACACATACATTCAGAGATAAATGTAGAGCAGTCTGTTGCACAGGGCTATGCATACACTACAGGGTTCAGTTGGCAGGAAAAAAATGTACTGTCTTATCTGAGCTAATGGCATGTAATGCAGAATTTGGCTTAGAGGTCAAAACAACAGATTTAGAATTATTACTTTGGCATAAATGTCTAGTTTATCTTCTTGTTTGTTACAGGGCAGAGTCACAAACAAGGCAGTCTTTTGCAGAGAGAGAGGAAAAAAACTTCAGGCTCTTTCTGCAGGATTAGTAATAAATGATATTTGTTTTACAGGAGGGCCACTAAAGTAGGTTAAAAAAAAAAAAAAAAAGCCTCCAAAGGCCTTGAGCTGTTTCCTGCAATCTCAAGGTGTCTGTTTCCGCCTTGGGGTTTGGGGATTTTTTTGCAGCTTGTTGGACAAAAAGTTGTAGCTATCAAATGGTTTGTTGCACATTAACCATTTAAATTAAATCACTAATTTATAGTTCTAAGGTATAAAATGATATGTGTGTCTCCAGATGTTTGTAGTTTTAGCTAGTAAAGAGGCCTTAAAAATGATATACTTTTAGCTGGACTGTATCACTCTAACCTTCTATGTTAAGTTTCTGTGTTTTCTCTTGGATTCAGCCAGGCTTATCTCTAAATGCCACAGGTTGCCTGGAAAACAGACCTTTTTGTCCTGCTAGAAGTGTAGTTTAGAGCATAAGAGTCTTGCACTTGAGCCACTTGGTCCCCAAGAGGAAATCTGAAAGCTAAAAAAGTGCAAGGGAAATGTAGGAGATGGCTGGGAAAGAAATCAGTAGGCAAGGAAGGAAGTCAGAAAGAAAGAACTGATTGCAAGGTGATTTGAAGGAGTGTTTGATGTTGAACTACAACACGTGGGCCAAAGTGAGGACCAGATTTTGACTTGTTACTGCAAAGAGTTGGAAACCTTGCGTGTTTGCTATATTACAGAATTCAGTCTTTGTCATGTCAACATCACTGCATTACTTTATTATTTTCTGTTTCTGCAAGCTCAGATTAATGCTGATGTCAGTGTAGGGGTTAACGGGCTGCTGTTCCAGTGACAGACTTTGAAATCACACAAGCTGGCTGCCTCTTGCCTCCCTCTGGGCATATATATATTATATTTAATATTTCACAACATAGTTTTGTTTAAAGGTATCAAGAGTCATTTACTGAACTAGGTAGCTAAGCTATCAAAGCAGTGTTTTCTGCAAGCATAACCCTCAGTTTGGGCTAATTAGTCTTGCTGCAGTGCATTGCTACTTAGAGCAATGCAGCTCTTGGTATCTTTGGGCTAATTATGTTGAATAAACATGTTCTGTGTTGGTATGTAACTCCTAGAAAAATTAGACCATGATTTTTATTGGCACTGTTAAATTACTTTACAAGCAGAAAGTAATCTTTTTCTGACCATGTGACTTAATCCCAGACAGCAGGATAGTCAGCCTTGCTAAGTGTATTTCTCCACAGCCACATTTATGTGTATGGTTATCTTCAGATGCAGAAACTGCCATCTCTTCTAGTGAAGGCAGAACTTAGTGCCTATAATTGGATAAAAACCCACCCCACCAATCAACTCACTAGCAAAATGTGCAAATCTTCAGAGTGAAGAGTGCAAAGCATTGCCAGTAATCCATCCTCAGCATCCCTTGAGTAAAATGATCATGCCAGAGTCTGCATAGTAAACAATATAATTTTTTAGCAAAAATCATGTCAGAAAATATTCAGGTATGCTTGGGATTTACAGTTTAGGGCACAGGCAATTCATCAGTACATTTTTCTGCGTCAGTCTAAATGGCTGTTATGTTCTTGCTGACTCTTTGTCTTCAGTCTCAGCTCGCTGGTGAAAAATCCTGTTGTTTGTCACAAGAAGTGC